ACACTTCAATCAGATCCTTTTCAGCTCTTTATTGCTGACATCCACTGTTTTATTCCCAGACTATGGCGATAGTGAATGAGTTGGGAATGGAGCAGCTGTGTGCTGTAATGGGATCAGGAGCCCCCACTGTGTCTTTGGCTGCCTGCCACCTGCTGCAGGTGATGTTTGAGGCTCTGACAGAGGGCATGAAAAGAGAGATCAGAGGAAAAGATGAAGCTATACTTCCTGGTGAGTTGGGACACTGACAGTCCTAATATGTGACACCTGTGGTACTCTCATGAAAGTAAATCTGTATCTAATGCTTTTTGTGTGTGTCAGCTTTCTGTCCTGTGCGTTCAACCTAAATTCGCTCTATGAATTTGACACAGAACCCTCCAAGGAGCTACGCTCGATGCTGCACCACCTCTTGGAAATGTTGCCAGCGTCTAATGTGTCGGGGCCGGGCAGAGACAGCGCCATCAATCTCTTGGTCAAACAAGTACCCCGCAAGTCCTTGAAAAACCCTGACAACTCCCTCACATTATGGGTGATAGACCAGGGTATGAAACACACCAATATGCAATTCATGTAGTTCTTTTATTAACAAGAGCAACAGAGCTTCTGCCACACATGTCATTTTTTCATGTCTTCAGTAATTCTGATTTTATATGACATCACTGCAGCCAAGTTCATAACTCATTTGTTCTTTTGCAGGGCTGAAGAAGATCCTGCAGGTGGCCGGGACTGTTCCTGAGCTCTCAGAAGGACCTCCTCTTACAGACAACACTCACATGAGCTGCTCTGTCTTACTGACCAAACTTTATGATGACCTAAAGAGCGACAAAGAGAGGGAGAACTTCCACAAACTATGTGAAGAATATGTTCAGTGAGTTCACCGACAAAACTTCTGTTACTTACTAATATAAGTTTGGAAGTGCTTACTCATGACATAAATTGCGAGTGTGAGAAATCACGATCAAAGACCCAAAGCAAAAAAGATTGCACTTTATGACTAATTCTTCTAATCTCATGTTTTTCTGCGTAGGCAACACTTTAGCCGTTCTGGACTAGACGCCAAGCTGCGAGCCATCCAGACGGTATCGGTGCTCCTCCAAGGGCCAAGCGACGTGGGTAACAGAACTCTGGAAATGTCAGGAATGATGGATGCGGTGATCTCTCTGTGTGCCTCCGAAGATGTAACTCACCAGCAAGTGGCGGTGGAGGCTGTTATCCACGCTGCAGGCAAAGCCAAGAGAGCCTCCTTCATCACAGCCAACGGCGTGGCTCTCCTCAAGGACCTCTACAAGAAGAGCGAGAATGACAGGATACGCGTGAGAGCCCTAGTGGTAAGTCCTGCAGATAGTTGGAGAAAATTACATTTTTAAAATAAAGATAAAAGTAACAATTTTCCATGGGATATTACACAGGGTTTGTGTAAGCTGGGATCCGCTGGAGGGACAGATTTCAGCATGAAGCAGTTTGCAGAGGGATCTACGCTGAAGCTCGCCAAGCAATGCAGGAAGTACGTTTGGCTGAGTTGAATCTTGAACCTGGGTGTAAATTAAGAGAGATGTCTGATCTATGTTGTTGCATAACCTGATTAAAAACAGTTGAGGAGTGGATTACTGGATTTAAAATAAGAGCCAAACTTAATCTCTTTCTCTGTTAGGTGGCTGTGTAATGAGTCTCTGCCCCCAACATCCCGCCGCTGGTCTGTGGAAGGTCTCGCCTACCTCACCTTTGATGCTGATGTGAAGGAAGATTTGGTGGAGGACAAGAATGCTCTCCTGGCCATGTTTGAACTGGCAAAGGTTCAACTGATTATTGCATTTGTAGTACTTGTTTTAATACTTAACATACAAGGACAACACAGGGCAATGATAAAGCCAGACTGCTGACAGGAGATGATCGTTGTTATTGTGATATTTATTTTTATGCAGTATTTTAATTCCCAACCGTGGCATTCCACACAAAAAATGGCATGATACTGGTGTTGGCTCGGTTACACTGACATTATGTTTTAATGTGTGTTTCTGCAGTCTGAAGATAAGACTGTGCTCTTTGCTGTGGGCTCGACATTAGTCAATTGCACCAACAGCTACGATGTGGAGAAGCCAGACCCTCAAATGGTGGAGCTGGCAAAATATGCAAAGCAGCACGTGCCTGAGGAGCATCCCAAGGTACTGGTTAAATTTTCCTTTTTATACACCTAGAGCTAACATCACTCAATACATCTTTAATATTGCACAGTAGCCTCATCGAATTTCTTTAGGTGTTGAGAAAATTGCACCGCATTCAAATCTATTCTGTCAAGAGTAGCTGTTCTCTTGAAACTGCCGGCCTTTTTAAAACAGGATGCAGCTTCTTATGTGGAGAAAAGGCTGGTGAAGCTGCTGGAGGCCGGCGTGGTGTCTGCATTGGTGTGTATGGTTAAACAGGAGAGCCCTGCCCTCACTGAGGCTTGTAAGGAATGCATCGCCAGGTAGGAAAACTGCAGTCACTTTTCACTCGCTGTTCTCTCTGTAGGTTTTCTGGTTAATATCATTTTTCACTGCAGGGTGTTCTTGGCTCTGGTGGAACGACAGGAAGACAGAGGCACAGTGGTGGCACAGGGTGGAGGAAAGGTAGAGCACCATGATAAATACACTTAGGTTAGCCTGCACACTGCTCTAAACTCTCTGCTTGGGGAGGTTTAAATGATTTATGCCTGCTGTTCTCCTCCACAGGCTCTGATCCCTCTTGCGTCCGATAACACAGATGTAGGAAAAGTCAAAGCTGCACAAGCGCTGGCAAAAATAACCATCACATCTAACCCTGAGATTGCATTTCCTGGAGAAAGGGTAAAAATGCATGCAGTTATGAACCACTTCAGCTAAAAGAAAAAAAAAGAAAAGGAAATAGTTTATTTTGTTTAACCTTGCTCAACATTTTGTTGACAGATCTATGAGGTGGTGCGCCCTCTTGCCAGCCTTCTGAGTCTTGAGTGCACCCTGCTGCAGAACTTCGAGGCACTAATGGCTCTCACCAACATGGCTGGCATCAGTGAGAGACTCAGGTTGGCCACTAGGGGGAAGTCTCTCCCTAAGAATACATGAACAGTGCAGTCAGTTTTAATGGGAATACACACAGTACACATTCTAAGAACAGTTTATGAACTGTTAATAGGTTTAGACATACGTTTTTTTTTTATTGCTTAGCACACAGGATCATAGTTTGCCTCCATAAAAATAAAATGCAGTGAAAATGTTCCCAGCGACCCCATTTGCAGTTCTTCTGGGGCAAGCGCAATTGATTGAGACTTAATTAATTTGGAGTCAATCATTTACATAATTAATGAACATAATCTTCTTGTAGAGCAAATACTAGGTCAAGTCCCACATTCTTGAGGGCAAGCTGTTAACAAAAAATGAAGTACTTCAAGTCTCTGAATGCTGACATTTCCTTTCAAATCTCCTTTATAGACTGACTGCTTACTAATTTATATTTAAGATGTATGAATGTGCTGCCTGGTTCATGACTCTCTTTTATTACATATCATGACAGTTTTTTTTCCAGTGTCATGTAGTTTTTTAATTTAAGTGTGTTGTTTCACAGACAAAAGATCATAAAGGAGAAAGCTGTGCCAAAAGTTGAAGGCTACATGTTTGAGGAGCATGAACTGGTCCGAGCTTCTGCCACAGAGTGCATGTGTAATTTGGTTTTGAGCACAGAGGTAAGACACATAATTAACGAAACAATCTGTTATACAGATCTGATGAAAAGTAGCACTGACAGCAGCGGGTGTTCGGTGCGTCTTCAGGTGCAGGAACTGTTCCTGGCTACAGGAAATGACCGCCTGAAGCTGCTCGTGCTTTACAGCGGAGAGGAGGACGAGAGGCTACGGAAAGCTGCTGCTGGAACTCTGGCCATGCTGACAGCCGAACAGCCAGAACTCTGCACCCGCATCCCTGGAACTGTAAGAAAACCACCCCAGCAACATCCTGACAAAAAAGTTTAATTAATCTTTGCTCTACATGACTCCTGTTGTTCTCTCTTCTCAGACAACTCACTGGCTAGAGATTGTGCAGGCTTTGCTGCTGAGTGAAATATCGGACCTACGTCATCGCGGGGTGGTCATAGTTCACAACATGATGCAGGCGGACAAGAGTCTGGCCGAGACGCTCATGGAGAGTGAGGCTCTGGAGATTCTGTCTGTCCTGGCAAAGGGAGGAGAAGGGGTACCTGATCCTGTCTCGAAGGTAGCTCAGAACTGTCTGGATAAAGCTATGGAGTACGGCATCATCAGAAGCAGACAAGGAGAGGAAACGGGTAAAGGAACTGAACCCTGAAAACACCGGAGCAGTGTGTGGATGTGCCTTCTGGCCATGTTTGAATACTTGCAGAATTATGTTGGACCAGTGAAGTCATTTCCTGAAATGGTCATGTGTCTTAAAAACCTGTGATAACAAATGAGGAACTGAATGAAGAGAGGTGTTAAATAACAAGCAGTTAAGTGTTTTTTTGAGAAATGAGCTGCTGTTTCACATTGTATTTATCTTCATTATACTGTATGTTCATGCACTTCTCTCAAAAGTGTGTATTTCACTTGGAGACCAACAGGGCTTCTCTGTACATTCGTTATTATAAATGGACATTCCTTGATATGTGCAAATATTTTATTTGTCTCATTGTTATTCCCACAATATTAGTTTGTTTTTAAATTACACACTACTTTTTCCTTTATTTTTTAATAACCAGCAAAAACATTTCATTCCCATTATCTTATTTTGGTTTAAATGTTTGTTATTCACGGCTCTCATTGATGCTTCACTACATTCCCGGTGTATTCAATGTGTGATTTGTTGTTTTTATAATTCTGACTGAGCACATGGACAGAAAAAATAAAACTTGTGCACACCTCTGCAGAGTTTACTCTGTGTACTGTAGTTACTGTAACGCAAAACAACTGCGCATGCGCATCACTTCCTGGTGGCGTGTTCATGAGCGTTGAGTTTCGCGGACAACTGCGCTGCGGCGCTCAGGAACGTTTGCATGAAGCTGCTCAGATGCGCTGGTTCGGGTTTGGCTTCAACGCGTTTGGACAAATATGTGTCCGACAGAAATTAGTTAAAGGAGAAGAAAGTGGCGACGCTGTTGAGGAAGTTAAAGTGATAAATCCAACAGAGCTGCGTGCGGACAAAAGTGGCTGCAGTCACATCAGAGCAAGTTGGAGTCGAAGAGCATCTGTGCATTTGGGTGGTAAGCATTAAAAATGCTTCAGCAGCTGTGTGAGTCCTGGGTTAACACCTGGTCTACAAAAAGCCTCGATAATATCCCACTCTTTATTTAGACACTAACTCGTGTCACTGGTTTAGATTTCTTGGTGGGAAGCAGAAACACAAAGCGTCCAGCAGGGGGAGCCATTTACA